GAACATGTATTGGTAGGGGTGCGGCGGCGACGTGGCCGATGCATGAGGTGGAGCGGCGGCCGCTGCCTCGATCGATGGACCCCACCAACGCTGCTGCTGCTGCTGCTCTTCTTCGATGGGCTGCGCCGTAGCAGTCGGTGAGAGGGTCCCACCGCGGCCACCAGCAGCGAGGACGTGGGTAAACCGCGTCATCTCCGACGTCTGCACTCGACCGGCCAGGTGAGAGCCGCTCGCCTCGCTGCGGCCCATGTAGCCCTCTCCTTCGCCCTCTTCTGCCGCAGCAGCTGACAGCAATCCGTTCGGACCACCTTTACTGTGGAGGGGACTCGACTCTGCGTGCAGGCGACCGTGGTGACGGTGGTGATCACGGCGGTGATGATGCGCCTGTGCGTTGGTCCCGCCCTCGCGGCCGTTGCCGGCATCGTCACATCGACCCGGCGAGGGCAGGTGCGAAGGGGCGCGAGAGGGCAAGTCGGGCGTCGAGCAGGGAGACGCGGACGGCGACGACGACGACGAAGAGGACACATCGTCTGAGTGCGACACGACGGTGTCTGACTTGCTGCAGTTGCTGCGATTTTCGTCCTCCCCCTCCGGCTCCGATGGCAGGTTGCGGCTATCGTCGACGGAGCTGCTGCTGCTGCTGTGCGCTTCGTTGGTGGGCTGAGCAGGAATCGCAGAGGCAGGGGGATGGGGCGGAGGGGAGTCGGTCTGCTCGGCCGGGCGCTGCGTGGGGGTTCCGGAGACGGGAGAGGCATTGCACGGGGCCGCGCCGTCCGCGGTGGCGTAGGGATGCGACATGCCGCGTGCCCGCTCACCTGTGTTTGGGTGTACGTTATGTTGATGTATTTCGCTTCAGTTTGTGAGTTTCAAAGGAAACACACCAGCGCACATATATGTATATATATATATATATATATTCCTTGTAGGCAAACGAACGACAAGATAATGATGACAGAAGACAAAGGCAAAACCAATGGACACGGCTTCACGTCACGAGATACTCTTCTTCACGCTTTCTTCAATGGAAGGCTTTGGAGTGATTCTTTTTGCAAGAGAGAGGGGAGCGGGGGTTGCTTTGGAAGTATTTGATGAGATCACACACACACACACACGTGGCTCGCATAAAAAGGAAGGAGAGGAAAGAGGCAGCACAATCACAGAAAGTCAGAGGAGATTACGATGGTTGGCTTCGGAGCAGCTGTGAGATCAGGCGGTTGTTCGGAGGCCAGCACACACACACACACACACACACACACCGACGTCGTGGGACTCGCCTTGCATATAATTGCTTTATGTATCCGCCCTCATGACCTACGTTCCACAGTCCGCGACCTTGCCGCCAAGCACCGAAGTATTAGGCGCTGCGCTCAGGTTGCGCGGCACACGAGACGGAGTTTTCAAGAGCGGTGTCCAGTAAGCTGAACGGATATAAATGGAAAAAGGAACTCATCATTCACACCCACACACACGCACACACACAGGGAGAGGTCGAGAGAGTGGCTTCAGCTGCCAGCTCTTTAGCGTTATTCATTTTGATACATATATGTAGTACTCTTCCGCGCACACCACTCTATCGAAAAGAAGAAGAAGTATTTTTAATCAGAGCTGACACGGACACGGAAAGCCGCTGAGCCCCCTCCCCCAACGGAGAAGAGGCAAAAGCAAAGGAAAGAACAGAGCCGAAAGAAGGACGTGTACGTGTGTGTCTCGTGTGCAGACTCCGACGCGTCCACGGCGGCGGTGTGCCGCGGGCGGCTATTCGAAGAAGAGGAAAAAAAGAATCGCTTGAGAAAGAAGAAAACAGACGTGTCAGAACAACAACGCACACGCACGCACACGCACATACAGTCTCTCCTCCACAAGGGTTTTCGAAGAGTAATAATAGTAGTAGGAGAATATGAACAAGGGAAAGAAATAGCCGTCTCTGGCTGTTTAAGAAGCACCGTTGGGCCATCCAAAGAATAAAAGGAAAGCACCAGAGAACGACGCTTCGATGCACGTAAAAGAGAGGAGGAAGGGGGGAGGGGGGAAGACCACCAACGCCCAGCGTTGCGAAGGGCCCCGAAGCGGCAACTACATAAGGAAAACAACAACGATCGAACGATACAGCCCAGGTATGACGCGACAAAGAGAGTTGGGTGAGGTCGACGACAGACCCACCTCTGCAACAAACAACGGCGGTCCGAATACGGCAAAACAAAAGGCGAGAGGTTGTAATGCCAGGTAGAATCTTTCGTACACTCCTCGACACTCGTTAACCTTCGTGGCGCAACTTGATGGCAAAAGATATCGCGTTGAGCTGACCTGCCAAAGCTCTCACAGCTCGTCATCCGCGTCTTTCTTCTGCTCGGCATCACGCGCCAGCTCTTCGACCTCATCGTGCGCATCCGCCTCCTTCGCCAAAGCCTCCACCGCCGCCTCGTTGCGGAGATCCTCCACGTTCCGCGCAACGCGCTCCCCCTCCGCGGCCTCCTCGAGCTCCTCCTGCGCCTTAGCCACGGCCGCCTCTTCCCGCGTGTCTTCCATCGCCATCATGGCACCCTCCGCCTTCGCGTTCTCGCGCTGGCGGCTGCTGGAAACCTCAGCGATGTCGAGCCGCGTCGTGCGTCGCACCGAGGGCACGTGCGAGTTCGCCGCTGCCGCCGCGTCCTTGTCCGTCGCCTCCTCCTCCTCCTCCCGGACCGCCTCGGCAGACGGGCGCAGCTCCTGCGGAAGCTCCTCCGTTGCAAAGCACCTGTGGGTGCGGCGGCGCGGCGTCCTGCTCGGCTCGGGCGCGACCGTCATGCTGGGTGTGTGCTCCGGGAGGACGGAGCGGCGCGTGGAGTGGCGGGTGCGACGGGTGACGCTTTCGTCGAACTCCGGCTGGGGCAGGGTGCGGATGGCCTCGCCCACCACCTCTTCCTCCCTGTGCTCCTCCACTTGCTTTTCGGCTGCCTCCTCCGGCTCCGGCGCTGCCGTCTGCACACTCGCGTCGTTGCCGTGGCTCACCTCCGCCTCTTCGTCTCCCTTCTCCGGATCTGCGTCGTCGGCCTCCTTCACCGCAATCGGCTCGCCGGCCGCCGAGTCCAGCTGATAGGCGTAGTACTGCACTAGCTTGTGCACCCGTGCGAGGTAATTCAGCGAGAAGTCCTTCGTACGCACAAAGAAGATGGCGAGCAGCAGGTAGCTGAACTGCGCGTAGGCGCTCCTCGTCGACCTCCAGTAGCTCTCGTGAGCCGTGAGGATGGGCACGGACTCTATGACAGGGACGGCGGCGGTGGCGGCATCGCCGTCGGCTTCTTCTTCCTCCGCATCGGCTTCCGCGTCCGGCGCAGCAGCAGCAGCAGCAGCGGCCGCGTCGGCCTGCTCGTGCTTCTGCTCCTCAATCAGCTTCTCGACGTAACACAGGTAGCCCTCCTCGAAGTAGTCCAGCCAGTGCCGCCACTGACTCTCCAGCAGCACGGGAACGCCGTCCTCCACCGTCAAGAAGTCCAAGCAATCATCCTCCAGCTGCGGCTCCGCTGCGCCGTCGGCACCATCCTCCCCCTCTTGCTGCTTATGACGCTCTTCTGCTGTTTCCTCGTGCTCCACCGCCGCCTTCACGGCCGGAATCAACGGGTTGCAGAGCAGCACGCTGTTCACCACCTCGATGATCGCGGCGCGGAACGCCGTTTCGTCCCCGCAGTCCTCGGCCACCTTCAGCTTCGCGATGATGTCGCGCAGGGTGTCCTTCGCGATGTCCTCCGTCTCGTCCGCAAAGACGAAGGAGGTGGCGAAAATGACGTGGAGGCAGCTGTTGAAGTCCGCCCTCGCCTCCACCTTCTTGGAGATGCCGCGGCCGCCCTGCGAGAGCAGCTCCGCCCCTTTGATCCTGTTGTTGACGCCCACGCAGTGGTCGCGCAGAAGGAGCAGCTGCCGGCGCAGCTCCTTACGAGCCGCAGCGGAGTTCGGCGCGCTGCACAGGCGCAGGAAGTGCCCGACGCTGGAGGGCAAATTGTGTGAGGCGCCCTGGCGAAGCGCCGCCGTCGCCTGCGCCCCACCGTTTGACCGCCCGCTCAGCAGCATGCCGTAGGAGGAGCGACGAGAGGAGGTGGCTTTGCTGCCGGCGGGACGCGCAGGCAGCGGTGGCGTCTCATGATCCTGCGACGACGTTTGAGAGGGCATCGTGAAACACACACACACACACACACACACACACACACACGAAGAGAACAACGAAACCGATGAAAGCTGAAAATGAATGTGGATGAGAATTCTTTCTTTCCGTGTTTACAGTCGAGACTTTGGGCCGAGGAACGCAAGTGAAAGGGAAAAAAGACCGGGGACAAGAAAGACTGCCAGTGGCCACCGACGGCAATCGCGAAACGACGGAGAAGAGAGCAATTTAGCGGTGTTGAGGGAAACAGAAGGCGAGAGAAGGGCGACGGTGGAAGCGACAAAGTTCAAGTGAGAAGGGGGAGGGAGAAGGACAAGGAGAAGGAGAAGCTCCGTCCAGGGTGGCTTGGAGATCGACCCTTTATCATGTCTTTCATTGCTTGTAGTACAGCCAATTTTCGCTCATTAGAAAGTGTCAACGGAAAGGAAGAAGCAGCAGCCCCTCACGTCAACGGGCGAATACAAGAGAAAATAAAAAATAACTTGCCCACTTTCACTTGAAGGCAGCGGTGTTGGCCGAGGCGCTCGACACGCAGCAGGAGTACCGGAAAGGGCGGCAGTTTGTGCGGTGGAAGGACAGCAGCGGAACCTCCACAGAGGATCGGGGGCAGCAGAAGTTGCTGTAGAGGCTAAGGCACAGAGAGAGGCGCAGAACGCAAATTTAAAAATAGAAAACCATAAGAAACACCTCAGCATTGCGAAGCAGCACTGTAAGAGAGGGTAAAAAAATGAAGAAAGAAAAACGGAGAGCAGGAGGCGACCCTCCGCATCACGGCAGCGTGATCACCTCGTCGGCCATCCTCAACAGCGTCTCGTCCATCGTCATGCAAATGACGCCACTGCAGTGACCACGCTCCAGCAGCTTACACCACCCTTCGCACATCCGCCGCGCCGTCGCGGGATCCTCCATCTCCTTCGTGGGCTCATCCATCAGAAGCACCTCGCCGCCGTGGAAGTAGGCCCGGGCCAGCATTAGCCGCTTCGCCTGATCCGCGCTGAGCCGCGTCACCGATGTGTTGCCCACTCCGGTGCTGTACTGCCCGGCAGTGGTGCCCCACGAGTTGGCCGTCGTGTCGGCGATGCGCGTCAGCAGACCCAGTGGGAGTCGCTGAACAAAGTCGCACTGCGCCAACGTCGCACACTGCGTCACGCGCCGCATCAACGCGTCCGTCGCAACGGAGACGTAGCCAGCGAGAGAGATATTCTGCGCCACCGTCGCCCCAGAGAAGACGGTCGGCATCTCCGGCACGTAGCTGAAGATGTGCCGCCGAAGCACATCCGCTGGGATGGTGCGAAGATCAACCCGCGACTCCCCACGACGACCGCCGTCCGCCGACGCAGCAGCAGTGGCGGCACCGCGGTGTGAATGGAAGGAGCCGTACGCAGAGCTGCCCGCACGTGCGACGTTCACTTGACTCGAATTGGCGGTCCGACTGGTCAGCCCACCGCGACGCTGCCGGCGCGCACGGATGCGACCGGCGAAGCAGAAGGTGACGGCGCCCGAGCCGAGCCGGCCGGCGTGGGGGGACGAGGCGACGGAGGAGGGCAGCGGCCCACGGGCGTTCACGTAGAGCGCCAGCAAGAGATTGACGAGGGCGGTTTTACCCCGACCGTTGGGGCCGGTCACACACACGAAGCGGCCGCGCTGCTGCTGCGGGGACCATAGGACGATGTCCGCGGAGAAGAGGGGGGCACCGTCGTGCGGTGCGTCCCGCCTTCCGACTCCCGCATGCTCGTCGTCGTCCGTCTCGTCCTCCGCGGTGCGTTGACCTTCAACGCTGCCGCCCTCATCCCCGTTCGGCAACGACGCGCTGACGGGTGTGCCGCTGTGAGGGGTGCCGTCGTGGGTGGAGGAGTTCCGTCGACGCCGCCGCCGCACCGTCGACTCCGTCGGAACGTACCGCAGGCGGATGCCCTCAATTTCGATGTGCCGCAGCGCGTGTCGGCGGTAGAAGCTGGCCGCTCCGGCCATCGCGGCACTCAGCAGCGGCGTCGCCGAAGGCGTAGCAGAGGCCGGGGTCACAAGCCGCGACAGCCGGTGTGACTGCGCCACCCACCGCTGCCGTGCGTCGTTGACCCGTCCCACCTCTGCGGCGGAGATGATGAAGTTCGCCATGTAGAGGCTCTCCTCGCGCGACACGACTTCCCACTGGGTGGGCTGAAGCAGCCGCTCTAGCATGCTCGCCTTGTAGGCGTTGTAGCCGATCATCTCCGCCGTGTCCCGCGCCTCGCCAATGTTGTCCACCGCCGCCTCGATGGCCTGCATGCCCTGAAGGAGCTGGAAAGGATCCAAGTTGGGCTGCCCGCACCACGCAATCCCGTAGGCGGAGGCCGCCATCGGCAGCAGCCACTCCGACAGATCCAGCAGCGCCTTGCCGGAGCCGGGCAGCAGCTTGCCATGCGGGAGCTGCACGAGGGCGACGAGGGCACTGCGCACTAATCCGATGTCTTCGTCCGTCACCCACGCACCGATGAGACTTTGAAAATACGTCCTCCAGCCCTGCCGTGACTGCGACCCGGGGGCGCTGCGACGACCATTGGCAGACGTCGGCGCCCCTTCACGGCGTAGGCCGCTCTTCACCGATGACCCACATTCCTTCTCCCCGCCAGCAGCGGCCTTCTTCGTCTCCTTCGCCGTGCTGGACGGCGGCCGATGACGCGACAGCTTCATGTGCTGACGACGCTGCTGGTGGCGGTTCCACCAGCGCACGAGGCGGACATCTGCGCCATACGGCCGCAGCTGCGGGATTGCAGCGATGATCTCATCGCCCCGCAGCATCGCCCCCTCGCGCAGCACGTTGGCGTCGTCACCGCCGTCACCGTCGCCAGCGCCCTGGTAGGCGTCCTCCACGGCGTAGGCACCAGACGGCAAATAGCCCTCCCGCTGCGCGAGCAGGTAGCGCCGCTCCACCGCCGCCGCGATGCCCCGCAGCGCGTACGGCGCCATGGCCACGCCCGCCGCCACCACCGTGCTGCGGTAGGTGAAGGGCCGCAATGCGTTCGTGAGCTCCACGAACACGTTGATCGCGTCAAAGAGGTACTGGTGCAGCTGCACGTCGATGCCCTCCATGTCGTTCACGTAGTAGAGGATCTCCTCCACCTCCTCATAGGTGTGCTGCTCGTAGAAGGTCAGCTGGGTGTGGCTGAGGGCCTCGTAGAGCTGCATCTTCACCACCTCGCGCCGCTGGCTCGCCGTCAGCACGATGAACTCGCTGGTGGTGTTCGTGATGACGTACTGCACCGCCATGCGTGCCAGCTCAAACGCGCAGAGCGCGAGCATCAGTCGCAGGTTCATTGCCGGGCCGCTGCCTCCACCGCTGCCTTTCCCCACCCCAGCGGACACGTGCCCCTCCTCCGTGCCGTTCTCGATGTAACCCGCAATGCGCTCCCGCACCACGCGGCCCGCGGCGGAGACGCGAGAGCTGAGGGTCATCATCACGGTGATCAGCGCGGCGGACATCACCTTCGCCTTGGAACTCGAGTACATGTACCGCGCGAGACTCCACGTGTTGCGGTAGTACAGGCGGCGCCGCAGGCCCAGCAGTCGCTGCATGACGACGTTCAGCGCCATCCAGGTCGACTGCACGACGCAGATAAAGCCCACCAGTCCGCGATGGAGAGCCACCTCCATCGTCACCGACATCTGCGCCGGCACGGGCCACCGCGCCACGCACTTAATGAAGAGAGGCATCGCGTACGCCTGCAGCTCCTCGATGTCCGCCTCGCACCTCTCGACGTCCTCGTTCAGCACCAACGTCTCGAAGACGCGCTGCAGGGTCGACCAGAACCACAGAAGACTCAGGTTCGTGCTGGCCAAGTTGAAGGCGGTCGGGCCGCTGTCGCGCACCATCGCCGGACTCATAACGGCTGGCGGCGACGCCTTCAGCAGAAGAGCGCGGATCTCACGGGATGACATGGGTACCTCTGTCACGTTGAACCAAATCAGCAGCAGCGCCTCCCAATGGAGAATGTGCCGGCGCGGACGGGCACGGGACGCCGCTTCACTGCCATCGACGGTGCCTCGACCCGCCACCGGGGCAGCGGCCTCCACGTCTGCCGTAGTGCCCGCGGCGCTGGCCTCGCTCTCCCTCTTCTTCTCTTCCTCTTCGGCTGACGGGCCACGCGGATGGGGCGGCTCGCCTTGTTCCTCGTGCTTGTCTTCCTGCTGCGGGGTCTGCTGCTGCTGGTGCGTCTCACACAACTCCTCCTCCTCTCCAGAGGAGTGATCGGTGTCCCGGTAGAAGTCCTCCGGTGGCGGCTTTGTGTGGTAGGCGAAGCACCCGTTGGGCGGCACCGCGAAGGCCGGCCGCTGCTGCCCAAACGGCGCACACGCCGGCGCGGCCAGCGAGGATTCCTTCTTCACCTCCGTGGGCGGTGTGTGCAGCGCAGCCGCGGACGCGAAGTACGACCACACAGATGCCCCTCCCTGTAGGTGGTGGGTTACGCCGTCAAACCACGCGTTCACCGCGGCCACGTCCGGCTCCGTCGCGGTCATCTCATTTGGTAAGTTGCGGAAGAACCTTCTGGCGTTGCGGCGCGGTGCGGTCAGAATGATGTGCTCGAGCTGCTTCCAGTAGTGCATGAGCATCTCCGGAGTGGCCTCCCAGGTTTGGTCCTCCTCCTCGTCCTCCGCGTCGCCGTCCTCCGCGTCGCCCGCATCATGGAGACTGACGGTGGCGGCTCCGTCGGCTGTCGCGTACGGCAGCAGACTTCCCCCACGCTGTGCCGGCAGGTTGGACATTTCAAACGGCACCGACGTGCCGCGGCTCATGAAGTCGTACTCGGACGACTCGTTGTCTGGCCGCCCCAGGGGGTTACTGTCGGCCGCCGCTGCCTCGTCTTCGCTCTCATCGATGTGCGGTGCGGATTGCTTCCCCGCACGAGTGGGCAGCGCCGCGGAGATACGGTGCAGAACACGTTGATACCACCGGAATGGGTCGGCCGCCGCAGCAACCGTCGTCGTCGTCGTCGTGGCCGCTGCCGCCCTCTCCTCGTCCTTGTCATCCGCGGCTTCGAGCAGCTCCCTCGACTTCGTGTTCACTTCGGTCGTTTCGCCTCCGGGGGCGTCTGTGTGGAAGGGCAGAGCCGCATGACCGTCGCCGCACACGACGCGCGTCGGATGCTGCGGCGCCGTCTCCGCCTTGAACCGGCGCAGCTGGCGCAGGGTGTAGCGAACGGCGTGGAAGCCCTCCATCACACAAAGTCCGCTGGAGAGGAGAACAACGAACGAGGCGTACTCGACACCGTCAAGGGCAGCCGGCGGCGTCCACACGCGCGCAACGTAGCCGATGGCGGCCCGATACGAGTGCAGGCTATCCCCGAGGAGAAAAGTCGGTCCCCAGTGAAACGACGCGGTCGACGGGACGTGCGGGGGCGGCGCCGGTGTGGTAGGATCTACCGAACTCATGAGTGCGAGTCGATTCCTTTGAAAGGTTTCTTTCCTACTGCTTCTACTCTGTACGTACAGAGCAGCAAAATAATAATAAGAATAAAGTCGCTAACTTGATCGCATTTGATGACGATAAAACACTGAAGGAAGAAAATTGGATCCGCCAATGGTGGCCGTAAGTCACCTCTTGACTTTGGCCTTGCGAACTCTGTGGATTGCGTATCGCTCACTCCGGTAGATATATATATATATGGTTGTTTCGCTGTATATACTGCGGTGTTTCTTGGCTTCCGGTTTCTTCTCTGCTTCCTAGTAATTTGACAGCTTTGGGGTGTCCACGAAACGCGTGGCCTCCGTTTGTCCTACGTTGGGGTGCTGTCGAAAGGCGCTACGGTACTAAAAAGCAGGGGTGCAATGAAACTAGAAGAATGCTCTTTTAAAGTGAGAAGTAACAAAAAAAAAAGGATAGCAGAACGAAAACGAAAGCAGAACACGAATTACAAAGCTTCTCTGCGGCTACAGTGTGTGGGTGTGTGTGTGTGTGTCTGTCTGGCTGCGTGACCGTGTGATTATATAGACGATCTCGCAACGAGCCACCCCCCGCAGCCACGCGGAAAGCCACGGCGAAGAGAGCAGGAAGAAAAGAAAACACTTCAAATAACCACTGTCTTTCGAGTACGACAGAAACCGTTGACGTGGTGTTATTGATGTAATTCTCTTTGTAAGTGAGAGCTAAACACCATGCAAAGGCGACGTTTGGATGGTTCGGTATGCTGCGGTGTGTGTGCCTGTACGTGTGTGAAATGAAGTCAAAAAAAAAAACTCGAGCGCAGCAACCATTCGAGTATGCTTCTCCGGTGTTTGTTTGTTCCTCCTCCTCCTCTTGGTGATTGCAGCGGAAGGTGGCCCGAGTGCGGTCAGGAAGAAGGTGCTGCATTCAAAAAAGAAAAAAGGGGAGAAGAATAAATGAGTCGTTGGGGCGGAAACCATGAAGGAAAAAGGTGCGAGGTAATTCATCACACCGCGGTCGGCCGCAGCCGCAGCAAACACCGTAATCCACCGGCGTTTTCATTCTCAATTACTCTTCAAACCACCTGCGGAATCCCTTCACTTTGGCTGGGTGCTTTTTTACGTTTCCTACCTACGCCGTCGAGAAGCGGTCCGGCTTCACAGCGTATCGGTGCCGCGTGGAGGAGACCGTGGAGAGCTGACATCATTAGATACCGTCACGCTTCTCTTTCATTATTACTATTCTTACCAGCGCTCAGCTCTCTTCTGGTTGCTATGGTTGTACTGGTTGAATCGGCGACTCCTACTTAGTTTTTGGTGTGCGTATAGATGAACGTATGCGAGTCAGAACGACCAGAAAGGATAAGATAAGAAAAGAGCGGTTCCCGGTCAGAAAGAGCGGCAAACAACGCGTAAAGAGCGGGAAGTACGAGGCTCGACGATCACCGGCAGAACACGGCGGCCTGCGCGTCAGCGAGCAGTGGGTGATGCTGCAGAACCCGCAAAACAAAGGAGGAGCCAACAGGCATCCGTCACATCGAGAAATACAACGGCGTTCCTCCCCGTTTGTACCCTGCAGAACCGCCGCCCTCCTCTCCGTTTACGGATACAATCAGCAGAAACAGAAACGGTGTTGGGCTCCCGTGACTGCTGGACGATGGAATAAAGCGAGAAAAGGCCGCCAGAGAGCTCTTCCACTTCGTTGGCAGCGGGGACTCCCCGCCTTACCCCTTCTACGGCAGCCGCACCACCTCGTCCGCAACGTTGATGAGGTCGGCGTCGTGCGTCGCACAAATCATGCCGCGCACAATCCCCTTCGCGAGCAGCTCCCGCCACTCCGCCAGAATCTCCAGCTTCACCTCGCGATCCAAGCTGGCGGTCGGCTCATCCATGACGAGCACCGTGCCGCCGCGACGACCGTGGAAGAGCGCGCGTGCCATCATGAGCCGCTGCGCCTGGCCGCCGCTGAGCCGCACCATCCCCCCTCCACCGCCGGCACCACCGCCGCCCGCTGCCGCGGACGCCAATGGCGACGACCACCCCGCAGTGCCGCTGTCGGCCACGTACGTCATGAGGCCCTGGGGGAACCGCTCGATGTACTCGCAGTGAGCCCACGCTGCGCACTGCCCGATCTCCGCCAGCACGTCCTCCTGCTCCAGCGAGACGAAGTTCTCGAGGCTGATGTTGTGTGCGATGGTCGCCCCGGTGAAGATGACGGGGCTCTGCGGCACAAAGCTAAACAAATTGCCGCGCAGGATATCTCGCGGAATGGCAGAGACGGGCAGCTGCTCCTCCGCGCAGTCGATGTCGGCCGAGGAGGCGCCGCGCCCACTGCTGCGGTTGCGGCTCTTGCGGTGGCTGTGGCGGTGCGAGGTGTACGGCAAGCGGAGGGTGAGGAGGATATCCGGCGGGAGGAAGGACGGTGCAGCCGTGTCCGCCAGCCGCGGTGAGCCAAAGCTGGCGGTGCTGCCTCCATCGCTGCTGGAGCTCAACAGCGCTTCGCTTTTCCTCTCTCCAGTCCCGTCCGCAGGCGGGGAAGGAGTCACGGCGCCGTTGCGGCCACCATCACTGCCATCATCGCGGTCCCCACCACCGCGTTGGCTGGGTGAGCCGTAGTGCGTGTACATGCCCAGCAGGAGGCTGAGGAGCGTCGACTTGCCGTGTCCACTAGGGCCGACAAGACACACCAGCCGTCCCCGCAGCTGCTCCCTTTGTGGCGCCGACGACGACGACGACGCGGACGGCGAGTTTGGTGAAGTCACCGAGGAAGAGGAGACGGAAGAAGAGGGACCTTCTTCTGCGCTTTGGAGGGTGAAGGTGCACGTGACGGGTCTGGGGAACACCGGCACGGTGGGCGCGGTCGGGTAGTAGAATTGAAGGTTCTGCACTGTGACAGCATACACGGTGGCACTGGCCAACGCAGCCGCCTCGCTGTCCAGATCACTCTCCACATCCCCTTCATCGCTGTCCGATGCGGAAGAAGTAAAAGATGAAGACGACGCGTTGAGGGAGGCGGCAGGGGACGCGGGCGCCGACACGTCGCTCCGGCCGCCGCGGAAAGGGGCGTCGCTGTCGTACGCCTCCGTGCCGTTGCCGTCGCTCACACTGCCGCCGGTGGAGGTGTGCCGCTGCCCGATCCCGGCGCCTTCTTCGTCCTCCGGCGATGACACCGGCTGCTGCCTCGGTGGGTGCTGCAGATGGCGATGTCGACGGTGACGGAGGCGGCCGCAGCGCAGCCAACGGAGCTGCGCCTTTCTGTCGATGCCGGTCCCTGCCAGCGCCGACGGGCCGCGTGCGGTCGGGCCAACGAGTCCCACCCAGCGCAGCCCACCGCGTATGACGTACATGGCGCCCTGCAGCATCAAGAAAGGCGGCGCGTGCGCCACGAGCCAGGCCACGCCGTACGAAAGCCGCTTCCCGAGTCGGGCGGCCCTGAAAGGTGGGCGGCTGGCAGAGGCGCGACGCAACGACTTGGCCAGGGCCAACTGCTGCCGCTGCTGCTGCTGCGACAAGGAGCCCACATGTCTCCCTCCTCTGCTTCCTCTTCCGCTACGGAAGGGCGGACCTTCAGCCGCGACGTCGTGCGCACGTCCAGACGCCGCGTCTCCACCTCTTCCTTTGTCGAGGCGCTGCCGCTCGTCGACGTCGTACGCGTAGTCCTTAAAGTCCATCGTGGTCGGCTCCCACCGGCGCTGATTCAGAACCTTCTCCAGCACATTCGCCTTGTACGCGTTCACCAGCACCACCCCCGCCACCCGACGTGCGTCGACGACGGTGTGCACCATGTCCCGCACGCACTGCATCGCCTCCATCAGCCGGTTCGACAGACTCAACGCGTCGACGCTCGACAGCGCCATGGAGGCGCCGTAGCTGGCGACGACGGCCGGCAGCACCCAGTCCGCGAAGGTCATGATCGCACCCCCAAGTGCCGGCAGAAGCTTGCCGTACAGCTGGCGGGGCAGCACCATCAAACCCTCGGCGAGCGTCGTGGCTTCCGTCGCGCCAAACGCGGCACCGCACGAGCGGGTGTGGGCTGTCCACCACCGCATGAGACTCAGATCAGCCCCGTATGGGCGCAGCTGAGGCAGGACGGCGACAATGTCGAGCCCACGCAGCATGACGCCGCCCTGCCGTGCGTTGCTCTCCGTGTTCTCCTCCACCTGCGCGTCCAGTTCCGCCGTCGCCGACACGGTGCCGTCGAGGCCGTGCCCACGCAGCCACGGTGGAAGAACACCGCCCGCGCGCTGCTCCGCCTGCGTCCAGTGCGTCACCTTCCGCCCCACATACTTCACGCCCAGCGCGGCGGCCACCGTCAGGCCGACAAGAACACGCGCACGGAGAGGCAGTTGCCGCAGTGCGTGCTGCATCGCGAAAAGCGACGTGCTGAGGCTGCACAGGTAGTTGTGCACGTGCACCTCCACCCCCTCGATGTCGTTGACGTAGTACACAATCTGCTCCACCTCATCGTAGGAGTGCAGATCGAAAAAGGCGAGGGGCATGCGGGTCAACGCCTCGTACAGCTCCGCCTTTACGGTGTTGCGGCGCTGCGAGGCAGACAGCGCGATGTACTCGCTCGTCGTCTTTGCCAAGACAGTGTTCACCGCGAGACGCGCGCACTCAAAGGCGAAGAGCGCGAGAAGGCGTGTGCCAACCGGGGCACCGTCGTCACCGCCGCCGTTGTCGCCGCTCCCCTCGCCACGGCCATGGTGCCGCACCGCGGTGCGATAGTACGCATCCAAGTTGCTGCTGATCCCCTCCCGCGCCGCCTGCCCCAGGGCGGAGATACGCGACGACAAGCCCGTCAGCAGCGCCAGAATGGAGAAGGACACAATCTTCGCGGCGCTGCCGGTGTAAATGTAGTAGAACAGGCTGCGCACACAGGCAAGCTCCATCAGCCGACGACGACGCAGCAACGCGGCTAAGGCGGCCGTCAACTCCGCCCAGCACGCCCGCGGAGAGGCGCCGCGCAGCGTCACAACGTGCGGGCTCGAATCGCGGTGCGGAGGCAGCGGCAAGCTTCGGGTCGATGGGAAGTCAGAGGCCAGGGGGTTGGAGGTGGGCAGCCGAGAAGGTTGAGGCTGTTGTCGGTGCTGTTGCGTGGCATCGTGGACCCACGGCACGGGTAACGATGGGGGGAGTAGAACCACAGGGGGCTGCACGCTGACGCCGTGTGCAGCATCTCCTTCGATGACCACCTGCGGTAGCAGCATCGTCCGTCGCGCAGAGGAGCTGCTGCCCTCCTCCAGAGCACCGCCACGACGGCGATCATTTGCAGTGGCTGCAGTAGTAGTAGTAGTAGTAGTAGTACTATCATCATTGGCGTCGGGTTCTCCTGAGTGAGACTGCGCGTACCGCAGCGCCGCCTCAAAGAAGTCCGCGCCCGCCTCCACACCGCGCTGATAAACCGCGCGCTGGTACTCCTCCAGCTCCTCCAACGCCTCTGCGCAGCGATGCACATCTTGGTGAACGACGACCGCCTCGTACACCTCGCGGATGACGGAGAGGTACCACGTGAGGGACATGCAGGCGACACAGACACGGCCGTCGACGGGCCGGGGCGACGCCGCCGCCGAATTCGGGCTCGCAGCACCGTGCGAGGAGAACGAGTCGCCGGCCGGGTGGTGCAGCGGGGAGTCGACCTGCACCGCCGCCTCCGCCGCACTCGACGACAACAGCGCCTCCGTCGACGGCGGCCGGCTTGGGCGGCTCACGCTGGCCCACAAGTTGAGCAAAACGGCATCGCCGGTGCGGGCGTCATCCTCGTCGAAGAGCTTTGCTACCTCCGCCACGCTGCAGCTCAGCAGCAGCTGTCGAGCCTCGGTGTAGTTCACCGAGTACCGCACAGTGTCGGCCCACAGGCAGTGCAAGACGCGCCACACCTGCGCGATTTCGTCCACGTTGAGCGCGGCAGATGCCGGAGTCGGCACACCACCTATCGTGTCGTAGCTACGGTGTATCACCGGGAAGGTGTGCTCATCCGACAGCACCAGCACCTTCTCCGCGCCGTGCGGGACGCCGTCGGCGGTGAAGCGCTTCTTCGCACCGTCTGACGTCGCACCGGTGGACGCCTCCTCCGTCGCGCCCTCCCCTCCGCTCCCGCTCCCGTTGTGGCCTCCTGCGCTTCCGCCGCCGCCGCCGCCTTCCGCGCCGAAGTCGTCGGAGCCGAGGGAGCTGCACAGCTCGGTCGCCGTCGTCGGCACCCCGGCAGGTTTCCGCGGCGCGCGTAGCACCGCCTTCTCGATCTGCGCCCAGTAGCGGCACAGTCGGCGCATCGCCCGCGACGACCCGCGTGGGAGCCGTGCGCGTGCGGTGCGGGTGGCGCTCAACTCGGCCGCACCACGCACAGCCACGGCGGAGCCCTCGTTGTTGCGGCCCGCGTGATCGCCGCCGTCCTCCCCCTCCGCGTGTTCGTTGTCCGTCTCCTCCTCCATGGCCGCCTCCGCCTCTGCTGCCTCTGCATCATCATCATCATCATCCTCTGCTAAGGTCACGTCAATCGTGCGCAGCGCACGTCGGTAGCGGATGTAAAACGACGCTGCCTGCACCGCCTCCAGGCCGACGAAGAGCGCAGCGAGGTGCACGACAATCGGGGCGTCGCGCACACCAGGCAGCATCCACGCACATGTCCGCGTCGTCGCTAGCGAAGTGTAGAACCTGTAGCACCTCGCAAATGGACCACAGGGGCCCTCGTGCATCGGGTGGTCCGAGAAGAAATGCCAGTCCTCCTCCTCGAAGGCTGCTCCCTTCAGCCCGGCCGCCGTGGCGTTGCGTACCTTGCGGCAACACATCTGCGTTAGATCGCGGCAGGAGTAATACAAAATGCCACACCACTCCCTCAGCACGTTGGGCCGATCGCTGGAGCTCCCTGCTGTGCCACCAGGCGGATCCACTGATCCTGCAGCACGAACGCGTTGCTGCGGCAACGAGAAGTGGGCTGCCGTGTCCGGCTCCGTGTTGCCACTTCTCCCACTGCTGAAGCTTTCGGCCGCCTTCGTGGAGTTCGCAATAACCGGCGTGGCGGTAGCACCGGTATTCGCTGACGGTGTCGCCGGCCCTTGCGGCGCGCCCCCCGCATCGTGACGAGTGAGGAAGGAGAAGAACGATGGCGGGTTCATATCAGTATATCGACTAGAGCTCTCCTGCAAAACGACTGGGCGTTGTGCCCTTCACCGAAATGTGTATAATCACCCCGGTGCATGCAACTCGCTCAGGCAGCCTCTCTCTACCTCCCCTTTCTTCGTCTTTCCAAACAAGCGGGATTCACCGTCAAAGAGATGCAAAAGAAAGTAACAATACTAAAATCAATCGCACGTGTCAACGCGCACGCGCTGTGCCTCCTTCCTCCTCTGTGCCTGTATGTGTGTGGGGGTGTACAGGGGAAAGCGGAAGAGGGGAGAAGCTGCGAGGGAGGTCAGAGTACACACAGCAGGACTGAATAAGAAACGGCGCTGTGCGTTGATGCAAGAGAACGTGCAGGTGACAAGGAGAAACAGTCCCCGCGCGCACGTGCAGCACCACTGCGTTGGCGGTGGAAGTTGGAAAACAGAAAACCCGAAAAGGGATCGAGCACCAAAGTTGATGTAGAATGGAAAGAGAAATAAGAAGAAGCAGCACCAAAATCAAAAACGCCAGAGCCGGAGGAGGTGTGCGACGGCGCAGCGGCGCTAATCTAAAAGGCGCAGAAGCGGAAACACACGAAGCCGGCAAGAAGAGCACAGCGCCTCGTACCGCCGTTTCGCAGCAGCGGGGAGGGGGAGGGGAGAGGGGGAGAGTAAAAGCAGCAGTAATACGTGAGACGTCAGAAAAGCGTTGTCTGTTCTTGTTGTGTTCGTTGGTCGTGGCGGTTATCGAATTACAGAGCTGCAACGTGGCGGAACCAGTGGCAGCATACACACACACACGCACGTATGTACGCCGTTCTTACAGCAGAAAAGCAAGCAATGGAAATATTTTTTTAATAAACGATAGGTTTGGTAGGGGGAGGTTGCTGGAGTCTCTTCTCTCCCCATCAACAACGCTTTGTGAAGAGTGTGGTTATTCTTTTCACGTTCTCCGATTCGCTCTCACTCCCTCTTCTAGTTGTTTTTCCCTTCTCCTTCCTCTTCTTCGGGTAAAGAGGCGCTCCGGTCAGCGTGTGTGTGTGTGTGTGTGTATGCAACGCCGCCCGTGGAGCATGGGAATCGAGTGAGGAGAAGTGGCGTGGTGGGAAGGCAAAACAACTTACAATGGACGACTACAAAGGAAAGAGGTGAAAGGAGAAGAGGGGAAGGGAATGGCAGAGCTGAGCTTTCAGCGGAAAACTACAAGTAAAAGAATTGAGAAAAAGAAGAAGAACTGGCATCCTCGCGTGATGAACCACCGGCAAACCAGGCGGTGGGGGGGGGGGGGGGGGCACAGTCGTTGTGGTGGCTGATTCGCTGTCTGCGCTCTCCTTTCAATGGTGTTTTGATCGGATTGTTTTCTTCGTTTGTTTTTCATCTCATGCCTTTGACCAGCGTTCGCGAAGACCGCGCCAAACGGTCCGGCCTTAAGCCTCCCTCATTTCGCGTCCCCGCACAGTCTGCACCGTGCTTCATCGCGGCAACGTCGTCCACGAATCTTTTGGCTTTCTACTCATGTTACTGCGATGGAAGTGCGGCAAGGAAAGGAAAAAAGCTAGCAACACGCATCACCTCACATGAAAGGGTAGTCATCGTCTTCAAACAGAAGCAGGTCCTCCTCCGCCGCCTTCGCCCGCTTGCGATCGCCACCGCCACCATCGCCACCACCACCCATTCCACCCTCTGCGCTGTTCATCGCACGACCGCTGCCGAGGCCACCGGCGTTGTCGTCCCCGCGGCCACGGCGCCGGTTGACGCTGTCGGCCATGTAGAACGGCCGCACGTTCTCCGCAAAGGTCGTGTTCTCCTCCGAAAACGGCTCCCCCGCGGGGGTGGTGATCAACGTCGCGATGTACTTGCCGTTGCGCTCCGTCCCGCACACGCTGTACGCGACCTGCATGCTCTCCTTCACCTGTCGCTTCAGCGGAGGGCAGCGAGCGAGGTCCCAGAGGAACGCGTGCGCGTGGAAGACGACGTCAGGGGGGCTGCCGCCGCCGCCGTCCGTCTCGTCGCAGCGCAGGTAGCCGCGCTGGTCCTCTGCGTCGTAGGTGCGGACACAGCCGGTGTAGCGCACCAGTGCCGCAGTCGCAGGCATGCCCTCGGCGTTGTTGTCCACTGCAACACCACCGCTGGTCGACTGGGCCGCGGGAGCCCCTTCGCCCTCCGCACCGCGGCCACCACTACCACCACCCAGTGAAGCATGAGGATTGTGGGGAGCAGCACTGCCCACCGCGTTGTACACGCCGTGCGGGTTCGCCTTCCGACCCACCGCACCGGCGAACATCGGCGCAAACCAGCTCTGCTCGACGGGCATCGCAAAGCTCGCGATGGGCACCCCGCGAATGAACTCTGCGCGCAGCAGCCGGCCATTGCCACCGCGGCCGGCGTGGTTGCGCGTGACTACGAAGCTGAACCTCTCGCCCACCCGTGCCCCACCGCCGAAGCCTTGATCAACCTGGTGCTGCAGCAGCGCGGCGGTGGCGGGCGTGAGCAGCGCGGCGGCCGCCTCCGCCTGCGTGAGCTCAGCCGCAGTAGTCGGTGGCAGCGACACGCGATCGCCGATGTCCGCCACCGCAGCAGCAGGCAGGACCGCCGCACCGCCGTGGTTCGGGCTCATCCCGTCGGTGTCCTCCAACACACCTTTTGCAACGTTCACCTCTACTCCCGTAGCGGAGGTAGCGGTGGTGGTCGTGGTGGTCGCCTCGCTTGCTGGTGTGTCAGTGCGCTGGCCCTCGTCCGCAATCTTCTCCTTCGTGTCATCCTGTGTCGACTGTGCATTCGTCGTCGCCACCTTGCCCGGCACCTCCGCTTCTTCGGACGTCGTATGGGCGGCCGCCCCCTCCGCCCGCCCGACGCCGCCGGCCCCGCGGCAGAAGGCGGCGATGGAGGGCGGCAGCGGCATCGCGTTCTTCAGGTAGAAGGCACGCAAGGCGAGGCGGGTGAAGGACAGAACGATGCCGTCGTTGATGAAGTACACATCTGGCCCGCCGCAGTCGGGCGAGATAAAGCCGAAGCCTTTCGGATGCCGATACATGACGCACGAACCGGTGTAGACGCGGTCCAGACCGGGTGGCATGCGGGCGAGCTGTTCCTCGGCGGTGAGGGGCGCGCTGCGACCCACGGCGGCGGTGGTGGTGCCGCTGCTGGAGGACATGAGCCGTTGAGCGACGGAGCCGCCACCGTTTTCTTTTGCATGTAGTGACGGTGACGATGTGCCCACAGTGGACCGTCCCGGTTGGCCATCCGCATTCGGCAGCACGGTAGCCCCTTCGGCGCCACCGACGGTGGCAAGCACGCCCTGCCCCAACGTGGATGCCCCCGAAGCCGCGCCGCGGCTACCGTGAAGGCCCCCCGCACGACTCGCACCGCCCCCTTCACTCTCCGCCTCTTCGGCCTCGGCGCGGATCGTCGCGAGGAGCTTCGCGTCCTTCATCGCCTCCTTCACCGCATCATCCTCCTCGTCCATCTGCATCGCCAAGTCGAAGCCGTCGCCTTCCGTGCCTTGCGGGTCCCCGCCTGCCACACGAGTACCGCCTCTGCTCTCCGCACCCACCACCGCCGTCAACGCCTCCGCACCGTCGTCGTCGTCGACACGGCGGAAGAGCGACGGCCCGTCGACTCCACGGCTTTGCTGGGCGCTGAGGTGAGACGCGACGGCGGAGGTGGCGGCGTAGGCGGGCGGTGCAGAGGCCCCGCCGTTCGCGTACACCGCCGCCTCCTCGCCTAAAACGTCGTCCTCTACGGATGTGGTCGTTGCTGCAGACGCCGCGCCCTTCGACGTAGCCGAAGAGCGAATTGCGTTGGCCCCCGCCGCTGCGATCGAAGAGGAGGGCAGGAGATGACGTCTGAACTGGCTCGACCCGCCACGGCCGCTGCCGCTGTTTCTGTTCTGACTGTTGTGTTCGTCGGTGCCGCCGGACATCCCAGCAGCTTCAAGCATCAACTCCTCCCGCAGCGAGGCCGGACCGGTGTCGATGAAGGCGTCAGCGGGCAGCTGCTCGAACACGACATCGAATATGTTCTTTGAAGTCAGCTTTGGCGGCATCGTCGCTCGAACCTGCTGCGAAAGATTTCGTTTGAACGAACGTGCTTTTGGTTTCTTCTTCACAAGAGAGGGAAAAGAGAGAGAGAGAGACGGAATCGGGAGAGATAAATATTTACTTGCAGCATCGAGGCAGCAGCGCAGAACTCCATTCGGCACATGCGACAAACACACACACAGCTGAGATGAATCAGCGGTAGATAGCAGTAACAACAGCGGGCCACTTCGCACCTGCATTCGTGAAGCTATCCTCCGTTTCGGAGAGTTTTCCTTCAAGAATATTTCGTTTCTTTCCTTTTTTTTCATTTTTCAGCGCCTAAAATGGCATCGTGTCACACAGAGACACGAAAACTAAGGTGGAGGGAAGACAGCGCCCATACAAAAGCCGCTCGTACGTGCGATGAGAGCGCAGCTAATATCCTCATCTCCCCGCGTTGTTGTGCTGCCCGCTTGTTGTTGTCGCTTTCTATCAGGTTTCCCCGAGTGCCCCGTTGCTGGGGATAGAGGCGGGTGGAGGAGGTGCAGGGGTGCAGACGGCCCGCAGCACACGCTCCTGCGCCAAGAGACGTTGCTCCACCACATCCCTCTCCAACGCCTCCAAGCGTAAGGCGGCCTCTAACCGAGCGATGCGCCTCAGCAGTACCTCACGCGGTACCTCGGGTGTCGGCGGCATGTCCGCCCCGCCCGCTGCGACCGGGTTATCGTCCGCCACCACGTCAGATGAGATGAGCACCTCAATGCGCTGCCGCAAAATTCGGTTTTCGTGTCGCAGGGCGTGCAGCACAAACTGCCAGTCCTCTGCCGATGATGGAGGGGAACTCGACGGCGTCGCCGGCGCGTGGGCGGCAGACGAGTGTTTGGGACTATTGCCGGCATTGTTGGAGTTAGAGTCCCCCGCACCGACGTGACGGTTCGTGGGCGGAGGAGGTGGAGGGTTCGATGAGGAGGAATAGGCCGCGTACGACGTACCGCTCGTGCTCGCGCGGCGCTGACCTTCCCCAGAGCCGGGCCGGCCTTCACCCCGTGTCTTGTTCTCGTCCCGGCTCGCCTGGTCGGAGTGCCCGTCGGAGTTGGCCAGCGCGTGGGCGTAGCGCATCATCGCCGCTTCCCCGAGTTGCGTGGGACCGACCGGCGCGTTGCCGTTCGTCGTGGACGCGAGCGGGCTGGTGAGGCGCCGGTGGGACACGTAGCGCTGCGGGGCCGTGAGGGCGGGGGCGGACATGTCGATGGACGACCGTTGTGCGTGTGGGTGTGCGGTGGGTGAGCAGTGAAGACGACAGATTACTAGTTGGTGTATATCGTCAGTGTGCGAAGTGCGTCGGGTATTTGCTATCGTTGTATATTCGGATGCTTCCTCCTCTCGTTTTTTGCTACGAAGCGGCCGCTCTCTCTCTCTCTCTCGACGTTTGAGTGGGGCTGCGTGCGGAGGACGTTGGTTCGAGTAAACAAACCAGTTCAAAGAGCAACGTCAAGGAAAAAGAAGGAGGGGATGGCTGACTGCTGCGCTGCTCTTCGTGTTGCACGTGAACAACGAACCCACACATCTACACACTCACACCACACACACACACACACACAGAGATGCGCATGATCGTGTAGAGTTACACACCTGCAGGAGCAGCAGTGCTTCTGTGCGTCAGGAACAAAACAAAGAAAGTGGAGGGCACCTCAGCACGTGTGAGCCCGCACACTATGCGGTTGCCTCCTCACTTCCTCAGGAGTGCAGCGAAGCGAATTCTTTCCTATTCTCTTTTCCCTCACCAAGTAGCGCAGGACGAAATGCGAAGGAGAAGCAACGGCGGCGCTAAATTACAGTTCTACAGCGACGCCAGTCGCGTTCATCTGTCATGCGAGTCCGTACGCAAAGCACATGAATCCGTTCTGGTGAGCATGGCAGGTACGTATGCGTTCAAAGAACACCGGATAGGAGAAAGAAAGAAAACGGGCGCATGTCAGAGATCCACACACGACACGGACGCTAATATATATTCGCAAAAAGAATATATAGAGAGAAGGAGAATCCCCCTTCGAGTACTATACAACAGCCGCGTCAATAGATGTAAACAATAAACCCCGCAAGCGCAACGGAGGTGACAAGAAAACGACGACGGGGCGGGCGGGGACGGCGGCTTCACATCGGACATCTGAAAGAAAGGAAGCAACGAAGAACACGGCTAACAAAATGAGAATGAGAACGGCACAGGACGAGCGCCGCCCACCCCGCACCGCTGACGTTGGACACACGTGGAGCTTTTCGCTCTGGGGATGCGGCGGCATCCACGCCCTTCGAATTCGCCCATTTGTTCTCCCACCGAGCAACGATCTCCTTCTTGTCCCTCTCGCTTCTCCACTGCAACGGAATATTCTGCAGCGGCGAGGAGGAAACCCAAGAACAGTTCAGCACCTCTTTCCGTTCGTGTATAGGTGTCAGTGCTGCAACCCGTCCACGCAAATATATGGCCCGTCCCTGCTCGCGTCGACCCCTCTCCCCCGATTCGCCCTACTTTCCTTCCTCGTCCGGCTCCTTGAAGTCAGAAAAGTGCGTTACGCGGAACGACGCCGAGCCCGGCGCACGCGACGTCGGCACGTGAATGCCCTTCGCTACGTCCACCGTCGCAGCACGCGGCGGCCGCGGCGGCAACCCGGCCGGTGGTGTGTTCAGCGTCGCCGTCGAATCCCTGCGTGAGGGGAGGCGGCGTGGCGGACTCACCGGCCGCGGCGTCTGCCGTGACGACTGGCTTTCCTCCTCCCCCTCCGTCTTTCGACTCTCCGAACTGCTGGCCCGCCGCGTGGGCACCTCAACGCTCGAGAGCGAGGCGCGGCGCGAGAGTGGCGGGCGCGGGGGCGGTGAAGTCATGCCTGGCGACGCCTGACTATGCCGGTCCTGGCTGCTACTTCGATCCCCGTTGCAACTGTTTTGGGAGCCTTTCGGGGTCGTTGAGACAGCAAAGGACGGCGGGTTCTCGCGCCGTTCACCCGGCAGCTGATTCGGCCCGCCGATCACCACACCGTCGTGACGGATGACTTCGAGCTCATCAACGTCACTCGCCGTCTTTGGGGCGTCGGTGCCGTCGTGATCGGTGTCATCGTCGTCGTCGTCGTGTGCCCCCAGCACCGGCCAGGGGAAGTCGTCCAGGCTAGGGAAGACCATATCCTCAAAGAAGAGCGAAGTCACGACGTTGGAGGCGACCTGACTCATGTCGGGCAGCAGCTTCAGCACGGTGTTTAAGATGCCATCGTGTGAGGCCACCTCCTGCGTAAAGTCCAGCCGCAGCTGCGGGGGGCGTGGGCAGCCGAGCCAGAACTTTTTGGTAGGGGGCGGCCCCACCACAAAACGCATGCGGCCCGCCAGCTCCAGCACTTTAATGCTGAAGACGATGTCGGGCACGCGGATGTCGCGGTAGCAGATGGCGAAGCGGATCTTCAACGCGAAGCCGCCACGGTAGAGCACATCGAAGTCGAACTCCGTGTCCCCGCACAGCGACGACGTTGGATCGCTGACGTTGCTGATGAACGGGATCTCCCCGCCGACGTCCAGCGCGTCGAGGTAGATGTTGCCACGCAGTCGCTGCGGCAGTGACTTCGCCGCCCGCTCGAGCTTCTTCCGCAGCTTCTCCTCGAGCAGGTCGTGCAGCGTGTTGGCGCGCGAGTTCTCAAAGAAGAGTCGGGCAATGAGCAGGTTGAAGACGTCCATCTTGGGCAGGTGCTGGATGAAGTCGTGCCACTGTGACGAGAGCGGCGTGGCCTGCAGCAGGTTCAGCCACCGCTCCTGCACACGGCGGGTGGGGAACTTAATCGCCAGGCAGGTCCACTGCGACAGCGGCACGTCCTCGACCACGCTGTTGGTGCTGCCGCGACGCTTCGACTTGTCTTTGACCGCGGCGGTCGGTCCGCTGAGGCTGGGCCGTCTATACGGCTCGCAGAAGCCTAGCACATCCCCTCGCCCACCCACCGCACAGGCCGCCGTCGCAATTTGGTCTAGAATTGTGTGGGTGTTCGCCGCGGCCTCGGCCTCGCGCATCTGCGCCAGCGCCTGCTCCACCGTCATGGTAACGCCGTCCCGCAGCGCATGACGCCGCAGGCGGTCCACCGTCGCCTGCTGATGTTGTTTCTTCTTCAGTGCGCGCAGACGGTCCTTGAGCAGCACCGCCGGGTCCTCGAGAAACAGCGGGGCACCGTCCTTGTGTTTCACGATCGTGCACTTCCCCTTCACCGCGGCGTAGCGGGTCGAGGTGTTGCGGTGGCGATGGTACTTCGAAATGCGCTCACCGGTGGCCACCACGCAGGCCCGATTAATGCGACCAAGCATGTGTTCCTTTACCACCTCCTGCCGATGATCGGGCAGTGTGCGCAGCTCATCCACCGCGTAGATGTCGATCGTGCCGCTGTAGAACACCATGCGGCACTGGATGGCCTCGCTGACGATGCCGTCGTCGAAGCGGGCCATCTTGCAGAGCGTCTCGACCTTCGCCGCGGCGACGACCGCGGCCTCCTTCGCCACCGCATCGAACTCCGCGTGTTTGCGCGCCTTCTTGCGCACCGTCTTGGAGAGCAGTGACTCGATCTTGCTAAAGGCAACAAAGAAAAATACGATGCACGACAGGGCACCGCCCACGGAGCCGTAGAAGAAGCTGACAAAGGTATAGATATTCATGTTTGCTGCGTCGGCACGCTGAGTTGGTGTGTTCGAAGATGTCGTATTCCCCTTTTCCTCCGGGTAGTAGCACACGTGCAGCAGAGGCACCGTTGTACAGCCGTTATTTTTCCTCCTGGACAATACGGTGGTGTCCGCTACAAGGGATTCTCCGCGGGTGTGCTTGATGTCCTCCTCCTCTTCGTCGTGCGCCCCGCTTTAGCTAATTAGGAAAGTCGCCGCAGTTCTTCTTTTATTTTTCAACTTTAAAGGAATGCGCGCGTCGTCGGGAGAAGCAAACCGGGCGCTCCACGGCTGTGAGCGCAGCTGCGATGCCTTTTGTTTCGAACAGAGGGGGGAGGGGGAGACAGCAGAAAGAATAAGGCGGTGCTGACGGCGCCTGAATATACACCGAATCAAGAAGAATGAGGAGATATATATTGAGAGAGAGAGAATGATGTCGCCAATTCGCCTTAATAACAATGATGGGAGAGCGAGACAGCACACGGCAAGGTCATCCTCTCTTTTTCCGATCGAACGGCAAACCAGGGTTTCCACCGTCGCCGTGGAGGACGGCCAAGGCAGCGCCAACGCGGACAGCTTCGTTGAATGGCGAAGGACGTGTCCTCTGTGGAGACGCTGCGCTCAAATGCAGACGAATTGGGCCTCAAAGTACAAAAGTAATAAACCTGTTTTGCACCTCTGCAGAAAACAAGAGGAGAGTGATTGGGGGTTCTTTTGGGCGGCGGTAGACACGAGCGAGAAGGAAAAGGAAGAGGCAGGCAGTGATAGTTTCGATTGCTGTTGATAGTTGCATTAGCGGGCTGTGTGAGTGAACGCAGGAGTGGAAGAGACACCGCTGAGACGGCGCTGTCGACCCGACAGCGAAGAAACGCCGACATTGTGCGTTGTCGCAGAAGGAATAAAGAGGCATCACCTTAAAGCACAACCGCCGCCATGATACAGCAGTAGGCTCCTTAAAGAGCGCTTCCCTTGTTCTTTCTCAGTTCTTTACGGCTGTTGTCCCCTTCTCCACTCGATGCGTGCTCGAGGCCGAGAACATAAACGTACGCGGATGCTTTACTCTTCCAGAATGCGCCATTCGCCGTATGTTATTTATGTCTCTTCTGATGGAAGAAGAGGAGATGCGGTGGGGTCGCTCATGAGCGCAAAAGGAGTATAACAGCCATCAAAGGACCAAAAAAACGCGGTCAACACGGGCAATAGCACTTGTAAGCAGCGGCAACAGCACACGCACAGTCAAAACGAAAAGGGTGAGGCAGACAGCACACACACACACAGAGAGACAGATGTTTATAGATATAGCACTTCTGATCGGCCGAGCACGGCGCACCACGTCGACGCATCTCTTGTCTTACACTTCCGCGTCCTCAGCGTTTGGGCTTGTCTTTGGACCGCGAGACCGACTCTCGCGTCATGTCTTTGCCCTTCACCTTCAGCAGGCTCCTCAGGTGTCGCATCGTGCTCAGCCTCTCGCGTCGCTTCCGCGGCACCGCGCTGAACGTGCCCTCCGTCTCTGTCAACTCACTCTCCGACAGCAGTCCTCTATTCATGGAGGAGGTGATACTGGTGGTCTCGTTGCCGTGGTGGGGTTCAGACAGAACGGAAGTGTTGGCGGCGTCGCCACTGTTGGACTTCCTGTCAGCGAGCTGCCCGCTGTTGGAGCTCGTCCAGTTCGCGTTGGTGGAGGAGGCAAGCTGGATGGGCGAGGCGACGTGCCGCACCCGCCCTGCGTTGATACTCGAGTCCAAGGCAGCACGATTGCTGCCGCCGGTGTTCGCCGCCTCTTGCGGAGTGGTGAGCTGCGACGACGGCGTCATCGTCTTTGCTTTTTCCTCCCGCTCCGACGGTGCCGGTGACGTCTCAGCCGGCGCGGGCTTTGTCGTTCCGCTCTGCTCACCGGGCTTTAACGCCGGTGCCTTCACGCTCGTCGAGCTCTCCGCCTTCGACTTCGACGGAGAAGAGCCGGGGGTGGAGCCCGTTGGGGGGCTCGTGGTGGTGGCCGCGGCGGCGGTCTTCGACTGCACCGGTGCGCTGCTGATCTTCGCTGCCCGCTGCCGATCAAAGGTGCGCACCCGCAAGTCACGCTGTGACACCTTCGGCGACTTCACCACACTCGGGAGGGGGAAGTCGTCCATGTACGGGAGGACCATGTCAGAGAAGAGGTACAGCTTAACCAGGTTGGTCATGACGCCGCTGAGGTCTGGCAGAGAGGTCAGCACGCGGTGGAGGATGCCTTTGCCGGAGGCGCAGCCCTGGTGCACCTCCAGCCGCAGCACGGGTGGTTTGTGGCCACCAATCCAAAACTTATTCGATGGCGGTGGACCGATGCTGATGTGCACGGTGGCCTCCAGCTCAATGAGCTTCACTGAGAAGACGACGTGCGGCACGCGAATGCCGAGGAACTCGAGCGCGAGGCGGAAGAAAAGGGAGAAGCCGCCCTCGCCGCCTTTGTACAGGAGATTGAAGTCAAAGCCCACCTCGCCGTTGGCCGACACCGTCGGCTCCGAGACGTCGGAGATCCACGGAATCTGCGTGCCGATCAGAAACTCGTCCAGCACGAGCTGACCGCCAAGGTTGCGAGGGAATTTCTTGGCGGGCAGCTGCCGCAGCTTCTTGCGGATTTGCGTTATGATGGCATCGCGCAGTCCGTTGAGGCGCATGTTCTGAAAGAAGAAGCGACTGAGGAAGATGTTGATGGTGTCGGGGTTGGGCAGCATCTTCGCGAAGTCGTGCCACGCACGCGCCTCCCGCAGACCGGACAGCAGCGTGTGCCACCGCTCACTCTCGCGGGCACGCTCAAACTTGATGATAACACACGACCAATTCGCCATGTCGCCCATTGCGCTATTCTTCTTGCCACTCCGCCTCCCGATGCGGCGACGGTCACCGCCGGGGTTCCGCCGCTTCTCCTCAACGGAGCCCTCCGAGCTGCGCCCGTTCTGATCAGAGTGCGCATCGTCATCGCCCTCGCTATCATCGCCGTCGGCGACGGAGGAGTTGACGGAGCGCTCGTCCGCGAGGCTCTCGGCCGACGGCGAATGCGAATAGGAGTGCGCACTGCCGCCTTTGGTATTCTGCGACATCGCCAGGCTCGAGAAACTGCCGTCACGCGCGCTGCCGTTCATGCTGCCACCAAAGCTTTTGCTGCCGGGCGTGGGTTGGGATGCGTGAATCGAATCGAAGAGGGGCTGTCCATCCATCGTGCGCCAGATCAGTACACGCCCGGTGAAGAGAGGGTCGACGCCGGGCCGCAGGGTGCAGTCAGCGAGGGGGTCACTCGTGTTGTAGGAGTTCGATGCTGCGCTCTCTCGGCGCTTGCTCTTCGAGCCTTGCGCGGTATTTCTGTCGGACACCTCCTCATCGGCGTCTGCGTTGCCGGCTTGCTTGGACTTTTTCTGTGAAGGACCGACGGAGCCGGTCTCACTACCATGACCATTTGCACCACCATTGCGAGACGCCGTGGACTTCGCTGCGGCGCCGCCGTTGCCGTTCTTCTCTCCCGCGTTCTTCTTCGACTTATTAAAGTGCTTCAGCTCCATCACAGTCGTGTGCAGCACCGACACGCGGCCCTTGCGGTGCTCGGCCACGGCAACCCCCGCCGCACTGCGGAGTGCGCTCGTGTCGTACTCCTTGGTGCCACCACGTTGGCCAGCTTGCCCACCGGGGCCGCGGCCGCCATCGGATGACTTGCCAGCCGCCCCGCCCGTGGCGCCGGGATTCGTATCGGCCACGCGCAGCAGCTGATAGATGGTCACCTCGTTGTTTTCTAAGGAGAGACGGCACTCAATCGGGGCCCCGGTCGAGCCATCGGGGCCGTACCAGCTCAGCATACACAAGCCGTTAGCCGTTATAGGCGTCACGCGCTTCGTACTGCCCGTCAGGCCCTCCAAGCCCTCCTCGGCGGACAGGGTGTTCATTGCGGAGATGTCGTCGGTGCCCGACTCGCCGGTGCTGGCGCTTCGGCCTTTTTTCGGGCTGTGCTTATCTTTCCGGTCGCTGGCCAGGTGCGACAGCCCCGGCAAATGCGCGAAGGTGGCGTTCACGAAACGCATGACGTGAAGGAGGGTGTCGATGCCGTAGAGGATCCATATGATGACGGCGAAGATGCCGGCCATCCAGCCGTAGACGAAGGCGGACACCTCCGCCATGGTGAGCTGAGGGGGGGGGGGAGGAGCAGGTAAAGAAAAAGGCCCCCAGAGGCGGAGAGACGAGCAGCAACCGGAAAGAGGCGCTTACGCCGAGACGTGCCGCTGCCGGTTTGTTGCCGCACAGCCTTCTGCCAGTTTATCTACGAAGGAAGCGTGAGAGCAGGAAATGCAGATATATATAACAAGAAAATAACCTCCATTAAAAGCAAACAAAGTGCAAGAGAAGATGAGAGAGGGGTGCGAGAAAGAGAGCAGCAGCGAAAGCCGCGAGAAGACGCAAAAATGCGGCCGGGCGGGGTTCGTTCCTTTGATGAAGGGGGGGGCGCCAACAGTTATCCGTAGAAGAAGAAAAAAAAAAGCAGCGGTGACGGTTGTTTGGGTAAGAGCGGGGGGGAGTCGCTTTCGGTGACTATCTTTGGTTAGCTATGTACGAACGCTTGCGCAGCGAGGAGAGAGGCAACGAAGTAAACAAAAAGGAATGAAAGAAGATCGAACAATGGAAGCGACGTGCCTTCGCGTGTGCAGCTGCTGCTGTGGTCGTTCTACACCTCAAGAAGGTCGTGGTAGACGGAGGCAGAGAGGGAGAGAGAGAGATAAAGACGCTCGTTGGGGAAGTGAGCGAATTTTAAAGCTACAAAGGAAGCACACGCACAGAGAACTGTGCACTCCGCCCACAGAACAATTCTCTTTCCTTTGGAAAAAAAAAATAGGGATAAATGCGAAGAAGTATTGGTGCAGTTCCCTGGGCGAAAGCGTTGATGTACGCGTGTGGGGGAGGGGGGAGGGGAGGGGGAGCACAGCGATTGAGTTGGTGGTTGCCCGTCGAAGATGCAGAGCTGGGAGCAAATATATATATATATAATGAGCACAGACGGAAGGGGGGAAGGAGGAGGGCGGAAATACCAGGAGCGAAAGGCACTAGATGGAAAGGTGGGCGTGCCAGTGAGAAGGGAGTACGAAGCCGAAGCCGCCCCGCGTCACGCAAGGTGAAATGGACTTCGCCTCTTTTTGGTAGTAGTAGTAGGTCTTGTGCGTGCATATACATGCAGGAGATATGTGAACAGCTCGGAATCAGATGAATAGACGCCTTACGCCAGTTTTTCTTCTTTCTTTCTCCTTCATCGTTCTGATTTTGTCACAGAATTCAAGCTGCCTTCCGCGGTGATGCTACGGCTGCGATAGTGGACTCTTTATGCTCTTTCTCATGTCACTACTGACGAATGGCCTCGAGAGAGAGCTGAAGAGAAGGGAAAAAAAAATGCTGGCGATGGGAATCCTCCCAGAAGACCCGCCCGCACATCCGCAAACACACACATACGTACACACACACACACACAGAGGGGAAGGACCGGCAACGGCAACGGCTGCAGGGCCAGAAAAACCACGATGAGGTGCGATGCAGGTACGTGTGGTTCCGAAGGCTATTCGAGTTAACGACAGCAAATTGACAAGCAGCAGCAACAAAGAAAATAAAACAGCAGACAAGAAGGCGAGAAAAAGGAAAAGCAGAGGACGGAAAGAAAAACAAAAAAAGGCAAACACGCCCGTGCGGCGCAGTGGGAGATGACGACCTCGTCGTGGCGAACGGAAACGCAAGGAAGAGGTACGGTCTCTGCACTTTGCGCGTGCTTTCTTGGTTTGAGCCTCTTCTCTTTCCTGGCTGCCGTGCACCGAACACCCGAGCTCTAATACATATATATATATATGTATATGTAAACCTATATATGTCGTGTTATCTAACCAAGTCTTTTGGCTGCAAGTTCAGGTGCAGCACCGCCACCGCCGTCACTACCATCAGGAGAGCACAAAGGTTTGCGTGTAGCAGCGAAAAGTACAAAGGAGCAAGGAAAACGCTCTATCAATATTTTTTCTTCCTTTCTTCATGTACTTCATTCCACGTAGCTGCTCCCAGACATGAGCAGCTGCCACGACACCCTCAACTCCTCCATCCAACTTGCTTGTAAGCCTGCATCCGCAAATGCCACCGTGTCGCAGTTGATGGGATTGCTTTGTCCGAGGCTTTGTGATCGACCTCGCCGTGTTGCACGATCCGACTGGCCTGCCGTCTCTGCTGCTCTCTCACACGACACGGCCCCTTGCAGGGCGGAGGACGTCCTCGAAAGCTTCTTCAGCGCAGGATCATGAACACACCGCTTCATGGTGGAAACGTACTCGCGGTGCACCGCCGCGATGCCGCGCAAGTAGAGTGGATACTCACCCCGCACCGCACACTGCATGCACAGCTGCAAGTACGCGAGCGCCGCCGCCACTTCTCGATGCAGGGTGACCTCTGCTTTTTCAAGTCGCTTCTGCAGGGAGGCGGAAAGCGGCTTCAGCGGCACCACCGCGGCATTCGACGGGCGCATGACCCGATCGCTTTGTAGCGCCCCTTGCGTCGCTGCGTCATCGTCATCGTCGCAGCGGGGCGTTGCGGAGGACGACCTACGTCCACTCCACGCTGCTTGATTTTCCGTGTGGTGAGCACCGTGGCCGTAACGCTCCAGCACCGCGTCCGGCAGCCGCAGCAGCGGCTCTGCCCAAACATCCGCAGCGTCCACCCCCGCCCGCACGTTCTTCTCCTCTTCCGTCGCCGCCGCGCCATCCCTGCGCTGCGTTGGTGCGCTTGACGCGTCTCGGGAGTGGCGCCGACCGGCTGACGCTGATGCGACACGGACCAGGAACGAAGGCGTCAGCGCAAATGGTGCGAGACTGGCGTGGGTGCTGAGCAGCGGGCAACGCAGCAGCTGTTCCGGCCATCGCCCTTGCACGGCAGCCACCTGCACGGCGCGGTGTGCCGCCGCCTCCACCGCCTGCTCCGCCTCCTGTGTCGGGTTGGACGGGCTGCGACGGAGCGGGTTCGGGGAGCCGGAAAGGGAGGACACCAACGGGGTGTGCTGAAGTGCCGGTGCTGATGCGGTTGTTGAGCCGGTGGGCCGTAGCGGCGTGTGGGCGTGGTCCGACCTGTTGCTCTGGGCTCGACGACCCTTCGACGGCGGATGGTGGGCGCTCCTTCCACGACCCTTTGCGGCAGCTGCAGGGATGGCCCAGCCTCCCACACCAGCTTCCTCGTGCATCAGCCACTGCACCACCACGTCACTCGCCAGGGCGGACGTCTGCGTGAGGACTTCGAGGAGGTAATTCCGATGACCGACGATGAACGGGGCGACGTGACAGAGGTGGTGCGTGCGCAGCTCCTCGACCGACTCCAGCACGGCCAGCGTGGTTCGCTGGAGGTAAAAGAGATAATGATAGAGGCAGTTGACGTAGACGCGCCGGGGCACGGCGTGGACGCGGGCTTCGAGAGAAACGACGCCGTCGTAGGCCGTCGGCGACCTCCCTGGCGGCGGAGCGGACTTCTCCACGTCGGGCACCGCGACGCCCCCACAGGTCGCAACAGAGAGGCGCCGAATAAAGAGGGGCTGCGGCTGCCGTACCTCTGGTTTTGTGGAGGGCGTAGACGGCGGCGGCGCCAGCACACCCCTCGCCGCCTGCTTTCCCGGATCCCCCTCGCTCGATCGCGCACTGAATCTACCGTCAACGGTGGTGCCGTCGTTGGCGGCGGCGGCGGTGGCGGTGAGATCGTTGCCGCGCGACAGAATGCGCGCGCGCGGCGTCACCGCGAATGCCCGCCCACTCGGTGGGCGCGGGGAGAGCATCGCCACCGGCGGCACGCGCGGCGCGGAGTGCGAGCGCTGCAGCGACGCCGTGCCCCGCGCGGACGACAGCGGCGTTGTACTCTGAGGTGGATCACCCGCAAAGGAAGAGGTGCGCCGTTGTGGCAGTCGTGCCTTCCGCACCCAACCGGCGCTGTTTGTACCACTGCCGTTGCTACTGGTGTAGTGGAGAGAGGGCAGCGCGCCGTGCTGCGTTGAAGGGGCGATGAGCAGGGCAGACGCGGGTCGCTGCACCATCAGTGCCGCCCCCGCATCTGCGAGCGAGGTGCGACGAGTGTTGCGCGTTGTCGGTGCCGCGGCAGAGTGCGCACGGCGGTGGAGGACACTACCGCTGCTGCCACCGTTAATTAACGTCCCTCCTGATACTGCTGCTGCTGCTCCACTCTTCGAGATGGTCGACGATGGCATCAGCAGTGGTGGTCGTGGTGTGCGTGGTGGCTGCAGCGACGTCAGCCCTGCCGAGGAGGACGGCGTTCGCAGAGTGCGGTTTTTGTTGCTGAATAAGACAGGCGTGGCAGACGAAGGTGCGGATGGAGTAGTGAGAATCTGATCCAGTGAAACGCACAGCGACGTGCGCAGTGGCTGCGAGGTGCGCTGAGGCGCGGCTGTCAGCTCTCCTCCTTTCTTTCCGTCCTTCACAAGCTTGTCCTCCTGCACACCTTCGGTTTCGCGAGCAGGCTTCAAAAGGTGCTGCAGTGGCAACGGCGGTGGAGTGACTCGCACAGGAGCCCCGCTGGGTGTCGAGTCCTCCTCCGCCTCGCCGCATCCGGCGGACGAGGAAGACAACGACGGCGACCGCGAAACAAGCCGGCTTGCGGATGCAAGAGGCGCCTCCTCCGCTTCGTTTGTCTCGCGCGCGGAAACATCATCCCCCGCCTCGCTGCCGACTACGCCGGTCTCCGCGGTACGCGTGCTCGGCGCCCAGTCTTGTTGCACGACATACAGAAAATGCTGCAGCGCCGTCCACACCGCCTCGCGGTGCTGCACAGCGAGCAGGGCGACCGCCAAAGCCGCCTTGTACCGCTCCAGCGCATCCTCCGTCTTCGTCAGCAGCAGCAGCAGTTCAGAACGCGACGAGGGAGAAGACGAAGACGATGAAGGGACAGCGGACAGCGAAGAGAGATGGGACACGCCGCTTCGTGGATGAGGTGCGGCAGCGGCCGGAGAGTGGCCGACGTCGTCGTTGCTGCCGTGTTGCGGGGGCACTCGTGGTGGTGCGCCCGGCCGCTGCAACGGTGCCGAAAGCAGCGGAGTTTGCGAGGCACGCTGAGCATGGACCTCGTGTGCGCTGCTTCCCAGCTCGGCCACGGTGTCAATGATGTTCGCGTCTGTCTTGAGGTCGGTCGTAAGACCCTCCGTCAGGAAGGCAGGGGTGCCCTTTTCTGAAGGCTCCTCCTGCCCCGTGGGCTCCTCCTTCTTTGCGGCTTCGTCTTTCCCCCACTCCTTCAGAAAAGCATCGCCGCTGGTCTTCGATGCGATCGGCAAGCTGTTCACTGCAGAGTCTTCCGCTAAGTAGTAGCACGCGTGCTTTGAGCCTCTTAGCAGCTTTACACTCAGCAAAGGGGACTCTGTCCCCGACATGCGCGATGCCGCCGCCGCGGTAGCGGTGAGCTCTATTGCAGACGTCGCAGCGCTGTTGCCTCCACTCTTGTGTGTCAGGATATTATTTGGACTGTGTTTCTGCGGCTGCGTCCTGTTGACGTGGAGGTCGGCAAGGGTAGGGCGGGTCGACGGGGCAGACGGTGGCGGAGATGATAGAGCTGCAGCTGCTGCCACAGGCAATGGTGACGAAGCGGGTCGGCGTCCTGTCTGCATTGCGAGGCCCTCCTGCGCCGGCAGCTGAGACGTCGACGCGAAGGATGCGGGTTGCAAAAGACAGGACTCTATCACGTACGTGTCGATGAAGGGCAGCTCCACCTGCCGCAGGAGGCAGCGCACCCGCACAACCAGCGCGCCCACCACCTTCGACGGTGTGAACAGCCGCTGAGCATCCGCGCCGTCTCCTTCGTGAGCCGCCTCCGACGGGAACGCGGCGTGCGGGGCGAGTGAAAGCGATCCGGAGAGCGCGCGTGTGGTGGACGCTGACGGCTCGCGAGAGAAGACGGCCGCCGACGACGGACCTCCCTCGCTTACCCCCGCTGACGTCCCCGGCTCCTCCTGCGGAAAGGACAAAGAGCAGCGTTTCGCACCGCCCTCCGCCGTGTTCGTATCCCCCTCTACTGTCAGCCCCACCCTCGCACACAGCGCAACAGCCTCTGCGTCAACGTCGCGGGTGGGGAGTTGAGGTACGGTGCTGGCAGAGGTGGGTCGCGAGGCCTTCGAAGGGCCGGAGGGTGCTACGGCAGCGCGCTCACACTGCAGCGGCTGCCGCGGTACGGAGGAGCGGCGAACGCGTCGCGGGTTGACGGGGAACGAAGAGCGCATCCAGCCCACACGCACCTAGGAGCTAAAATCCCGAAACGAGTATGTCCGTGATGCTTCTCTCTCCCCCCCCCCCTTTCTTCCTTCTACTTCTCTTCTTGTAAAGGGCAGACGACGGCGCGGCAGCTGTTGGCAGTAGAACACGTAAAAGGATGAAGACGATTTAAAAACTGGTTGTGGTCCGACGCTCAGTGGAAAACGCGGGCGAAACGAAGCATACGAAACACACACACACACATACACACAGAGGGAGACAGACAAGCACACACACAAGCAGATGTATCTCTATAAATGTATATACTCTAACAAGAATGATAACAATAATAATCAATGATCTTTGGGGGTTTGGGGTTCATCGGATTCGCCGTGTTGAGCTCCTTCGGCGGCGGAGTGCAATACGGGAGGGCAATGGAGAGACAACGAAAGCAGTCGAAGAAGAAGTGAAAGAGGAGAAACCAGAGCTACACGAAGCCGTACAGCTCCGCCACAAGTCGATTCACGGACTTCGTTTTCTTCGCTGTTTTCCCCACGATTGTTTGCAACGTGGCTGGGTGAATTCGACAGCGCAGGAGCGTACGTTTACCTCCTTGAATAAAGCAAGGTATATATATATACTTACGAAATGCCTTCATAACGCATGCGATCCAAAGGGAAAAAAAGAAGGGGGTGCGAGAAGGAGAAGGAGGGCGGTGTATCGGGGAGGGCAGGAGAAGTTTAATTAAATAGAGAAAGAAAAGCGGCCGTACAACAACAAAACCTTTGCCACGGCACGACAGACGACGTCTCCAAAGTACCCAGCGTCCCTCGACATTCTGTGGTTGCTGATGATGATGATGATGTGTGGTCTGCGTCTGCTGCGGCGCATGTTCTTCTCCATCCATGCAAGACAGGCGAAGAGCAGCTTAGCACTCCCATCTCACACGGATTCCAGATTGCACCCTTCGCCCTTTATACTCGAAGGCAGGCACCTTGACGAGTAAATGCGGTACGCCGCCGGCCGCATCAGCAAACGGAGAGATAGGGGGGGGAGGGTAGCAAGTATCAGCTTTCTTTTTATTAGTATTCAACGATTTTAACACTTTCTTTGAGAACCGGCCAAAAACAAACGGAGGGGCCCAGCAAAGACGCTACGAGCCATCGCGGCGAGTCCTGCGGAGCGGTAGTCGCATGATGGACGAGGAGCACATACCAAACAGAAAAAGGGAGAAGGAGGAACGGTCACTCTCCCCCAGAGGTGAATGCGCTGAGTCCTACATGTGGTGCCCACACACACGCACACACATATATACATACATATACATACACCAGCGATACGATGGACGTATCTGGCCGAGCCCAGCGGCCAGCTCAAAGTCCATACGTTCTTCAAGGTTGTTTTTTTTTCTCGCTTCGCTTTGTTGTGATGCACTGGCTGTGTAAATACAAAATGGCCAGCCACCTCACCGAGCACGCAATGAAATCAGAACGGAATCGCGCATCACAAACGGCTCTTCTTCTCGAGCGCTGGCTGGCCCGTCGGGGCTGCCGACGACGTTGCGCTGCCCCGTTCACTGGGCTGAAGAAAGCCCTTCGGCTCACAAATCGGGTAGTCGGTGTAGCCCTCCGCGCCACGCGTGAAGAGTGTGGTGACGTCGGCCCGGTTCAGCGGCGTGCCGCTCCACAAGCGCCACACCAGATCGGCGTTCGCCACGGCGGGCAGGCCAAAGCAGACAGCGTCCACCGCCCCCTCAGCAATCGCACGCGACGCCGCCGCCGCATCCGCGTAGCCGTGGCTCGCCAGGAGCGTACCGCGGAAGCACTCGCGGACCCAAATGTCCGACCGCGCCACGGCCGCAGCCTTCGGATCACCGCGAAACAGGTCGATAAAGGCGATTCCCCGCCCGTCCAACTCGGCGCTCACGTACCGCAGCAGCCCCTCCGGGTCCTCGTCCGACTGGCCGTTGAATGAGTCCAGCGGCGTCAGTCGCACCCCCACACGGTCCGGCCCGATCGCAGCCGTGACGGCGTCCACCACCGCCAGCAGAAACCGCGCGCGGTTCTCAATGCTGCCGCCGTACTCGTCCGTGCGCTTGTTAGACGACGTCCTCAGGAACTGGTCGATCAGGAAGCCGGTCCCGGCGTGCAGCTCAACGCTGTCGAAGCCGGCCGACACACAGTTGCGCGCCGCTATCGCAAACGTCTCCACCATCGACCAGATCTCCGCAGAGCTTAATGCGTGGATCTCCTGCGCAAATGGCTGCGACACACCGTCACGACACCACACCGCCATGCACGTCTCCGCCGCAGCGGGGATCGGCACGGCGGACGCACCGACCGGGACCAGCCCCACAGTCGTCAGGTTGCACGGCACCGTCGCGCGGCCGCCGTGATAGATCTGCGCGGCAATCAGCCCGCCCTTCGCGTGCACCGCGTCCGTCACCTTCCTCCACCCGGCGATCTGCTCCGGGCCGTAGATGCCAGGCTCGTACGCCATCGCCGAGTAGCCACGTTGCACCATGATCGACTCCGAGATGATCAGCCCCATCGACGCGCGGTCAGAGTAGTACTTCACCATGTCCGCCGTCGGCACGTGATCGTCGTCCGCGCGGCAACGGGTGAGTGCCGACATGACGATGCGGTTCCTCATCGCCCACCGGCCGAGGCCGCAGGTTCGAAAGAGCTGCGCGTTGCCCTCTGCCTCCATTGTGAGCCTCACCTAAATCCTTCGCCCCGGCGTGGTACTCTCTGGGTCCCCTCGCTCTCGTGAATGCAGCCACGCCTGGATGAGCCCTTTGCCTACGCCCTACCGCGACCACAACAAGGCGACGAGCTTCGCAATCCCAATCGCGGGCAACGAGATACGCTCAACTCGGCGTATACCCCCCCCCCCTGCACTTCGAGGAACACACGCGATGGTACGATAGAAGGAAAGACACACAAGCGTAACGGGGCACACCGGCAAATGACGAAGCAACGCTTTGGGGGGCGCTTGTTAGAGGAAATGAGATGTGTGAGAGCGGGGCTCGGCGACAACGGACGAAAAAGCGAGAGGCCGTGTGCAATCGAAGGACGATGAACAGCACAGCGCTTGGGGCGCTGCAGCTCCGTCCCAAAGCGGCGGTCGCTGCGCCACGTCGCGATGGGCAATAGACAGGAGAAGGAGAAGCGGGAGAAACAGGAAGAAGTGAGGTGTCTTCCTTCGAAGCCCTCCGCCCGTCAACGGTGCGGCAAGGACAGCGGGCCGCATTGGCCGGCAAACAAGCACAACACGCCGGCCAGCGTGGGCCGGCAGCAATAAGCGCGTCGTGCACAGAAATCAAGGATGCAGGGCGGCGGACCAAAGTAGACATCCGCGGCGCGTGCGGAAACGCAGCCGTGCGGCTCTCCATTGAACCACTCGGAGTCCGCTGCACTCGCTCCGCCGAGCCTCAGCGAAGGCGCTCTCTTCGTTGCATGGGCGGTCGTTTCTTCTCGTTTGGTGTCCGCTTTTCGCTGGCAGCAGCCATTTTGGCCTTTTTAACAAAGCGGCTGCTCACGGCCCCAGTAATTCTACGCAGCCCGCTACCCACATAAACGGGCTTGTCGTTCCCCTTTCGTGCTGCGCTACCTCGCTCTCCGTGGCTTTCTCACGCACCTCCCGCAGGCGCGCCGCACAGGCAGCGACGCCTCGCGAGAACCGCGGCACCTTCTCGAAGCACTTGGAAAAGCGAAGCAGCCAAAGACGTGTGCTCGCAGAACAGGGGGACAAACGAGCTGATGCGCACGGGGGAAAACAATGAAGAAACAATAGATGAAGATTAAAGAAAGATGAAATGACTGGCGTTTGGCGTTGATCAACATAAACAGTAGTAGTAACGGCAGAAACAATGAGGCACTGTGCAGGCGAGACAAACGTAGTAGAAGAAACATATTCGTGTAATAGCTTCATCAGAGGAGTCGGGAACGGAGAAGAAAGGCACGGGGGGACATCACAGCGCCGCAGAGCACGCGTTGGGGCGTCCTCCCCCTCTGAGAAGCGGAGAAAATGAGAGAGAAAATAAAACAAAGTAAAAGAAATGCAGCGAAGTCAGCTGCAAGAGCACTTCCGTTTTCGAAGCGCAAGAAAGAGAGAAAAAATAATAATAATAATAATAATCGCAAGCGGAGGACACAAGAGCGAGTACGGCGCCGAGGGACGTCCCGCACACGGCGCCCACGGCAAAAGGAACGCGCACTGCGGAGGGCAGATGAGAGAGGGGACCGTGCGGTGAGGTGATGTGCGACGCGGACGGGCAGCCATCACACGGCGGCGCACAACCGACCACGTCACCGGTCACCGGCGGGTATCCACGGCCAACCAACGTCGACAGCCGAGGGTGGGAGCGCAACAAACACTGCGAGATCGCACCCCGTCGACGGGGGTGCGGTGTGCCGGCCAGCGCAGCTCCGTCCGCCTCTCCCCACCCCCATCTCCCGCGTAAGCGCAAAAGAGCACCGCACGCACGTCCATCTGCCGCCTCCCCTCCTCACGGGGGCACCGCCCTGCCTTACCCCTTATGCACCGCCGGCCTCGCCTTTGCGGCCTCCTTCGAGGAAGCCTTCGCACCGCCCAAGGCGTGATGTGCCCGCGGCATCGTCGGGTAGTCGTTGTAGCCCACGTTGTCGTGCGTGTAGAACGTCGCGGCGTCCGGCTCATTCAGAGCAGCGCCGGCGATCACACGGGCAACCAGGTCAGGGTTCGCGATCGCCTTCACGCCGAACACCACACCCTCCGCCTCGCCGCTCGCAACCGTCTGCGCCGCCTCCTCGATCTCGAAGCCCATCCCCGTGAACAGCACGCCCTCGTACGTCTCGCGGGCCCACTTGTCCGCGCCGCGCGCAGGCGTGAACAAGTCGCCGCGCATGACGTCCAGGAAGGCGAGCTTGCGCGAGTTCAGCTCCCGGCAGATGTACTTCGTCAGCGCCTCCGGGTCCTCGTCCGACTGAGCGTTGTACGAGTTCAGCGGTGAGATGCGCAGCCCAGTCCGCTCGTGGCCAACCTTCGCAACCACGGCATCCACAACCTCGAACAGGAAGCGGCACCGGTTCTCGATGCTGCCGCCGTACTCGTCCGTGCGCTTGTTCGACGACGTCTTCAGGAACTGGTCGATCAGGTACCCGTTCGCACCGTGGACCTCCACCCCGTCAAACCCAGCCGCCATCGCGTTGTGCGCCGCCGTCGCGTACAGCTGCACGTACTCCGCGATCTCGCTCTTCGTCAGCGCCGCCGGCACGGGGTAGTGCTGCTTCTTGCCGTCCACAGCGAACAGCGCAGGCGAGTCGTGGCCCTCAATCGCAATGGCAGAAGGCGCGATCACCTTCAGGCCCTCCGTCACGTTGCACGGCACCGTCGCGCGGCCGCCGTTGTGGATTTGGCAGTAGATCAGCCCGCCCTTCGCGTGCACCGCGTCCGTCACCTTCCTCCACCCGGCGATCTGCTCCGGGCCGTAGATGCCGGCCTCGAACCCGAACGACGAATAGCCCTTCTGGATCTGCGTCGCTTCCGTGAGGATCAGCCCCATCGACGCGCGGTCAGAGTAGTACTTCACCATGTCCGCCGTCGGCACGTGGTCCGTGTTTGCGCGGCAGCGCGTCAGCGGCGCCATCACGAAGCGGTTCGCCATCGTCAGGCGGCCGATCTTCAGCGGCTTCAGCAGCGCCTCCACGTCCGGCTTAGCGTTCGTCGGCATTTGGGCGGGCTCCACGAGAGAGAAACGGGTGTGCAGGTGGTTGGAATAAACAGCGGTGGTGGCTGCGTAGGCGAGGGAACAGACAGTGCGATTTAGAATGACCTGTGAGACACCGGAGAGAAAGGGGGAGGAAGAGGAGAGGAGAGGGGAGTGGGGGACGGCGGCAGCGGTGGCGGTCGACAGCAGCGGCGGCCGGTGCAGCGCAAAGGTGACGCGCACAGCGGAGGCGCAGCAGCGCAGCAGCGACGGCACGTGGAAAAAGAAAGAGAGACGATGAGCGCGGCGACACGCCCGCACAGCACCACGCAGAGCACATCCTCACACACAACACAGCACGCCCACGCACAGTCTCGCGTCCGGCGGTGGCATCATTCGCTGTCTTCGCCGTTTCGTGGAGGTCCCTCAGAAACGTTAAAAGCGGCTCACACCCGCGACCCACCTCGCACAGCTCCCGCGCACGCGCACGTGTGTGCACCGTGGCAGCTCCCCGCACGCACCTCGCGTTTCAGGAAACACAACCATACTTTTCACAGGATGAACGGGGACAGTCGCCGCACAGGACAGCGTCGGTGTGGGGGAAAAAAGAAAACCATCGGGGTAGTATAAAGAAGACAGTATCAATAGTAATAGTAACAGTAATACTAATACTGAGAGTAATAGGAATAGGAACAGCCACCGCAACTGTGGTGATAATAATAATACGAAGGAGACTTGCGAATAGAGAGAGAAGAGCGACGCGGTCGGTGCACACCGGCGTCCACGCCGAGCACAAGACACCAGCGGCTCCACAATCAAAACGAATGAAAAAAAAAGAGGGCCGAGAAGGGGGAAGAATAGGTATAAAAGCTCGTCTCTCTTAGCGGTGAAGCCGTCACACGAGTCCGACTGCCCTCACTGCAGGGACCAGCAGCAAAGGCGGGGCGGCGGCAACGCACCCCCGTCACCGTCGTACTCCTCACGATCCGCACCGAATCAGTGCCAGCCCCGCACGTCCCTCGGGTACGGAGGAGGGGCCTCATCGGCCATCAACGAGCAGCAGGCGGTCACGCATGTCGGCCGGCTTCCATGTATATAACCGCACCGCAGCGCGCCGCAGAGCCGCACCGCAAACCGCACCACACGCAATCGAAATTGCCGGTGCGTCTACCGCGCAGCGAGGGTCGGGTAGTCGTTGTAGCCCACCATGTCGTGCGTGTAGAACGTTGCAACGACCGGCGTGTTCAGCTCCGCACCGGCGATGGCGCGGGCAACCAGGTCGGGGTTCGCCAACGCCTTCACGCCGAACACCACAGCCTCCGCCTCGCCGCTCGCAACCGTCTGCGCCGCCTCCTCGATCTCGAAGCCCATCCCCGTGAACAGCACGCCCTCGTACGTCTCGCGGGCCCACTTGTCCGCGCCGCGCGCAGGCGAGAAGAAGTCGCCGCGCATGACGTCCAGGAAGGCGAGCTTGCGCGAGTTCAGCTCCCGGCAGATGTACTTCGTCAGCGCCTCCGGGTCCTCGTCCGACTGAGCGTTGAACGAGTTCAGCGGCGAGATGCGCAGTGCCGTCCGCTCGTGGCCAACAGCAGCAACCACCGCATCCACAACCTCGAACAGGAAGCGGCACCGGTTCTCGATGCTGCCGCCGTACTCGTCCGTGCGCTTGTTCGACGACGTCTTCAGGAACTGGTCGATCAGGTACCCGTTCGCACCGTGGACCTCCACCCCGTCAAACCCAGCCGCCATCGCGTTGTGCGCCGCCGTCGCGTACAGCTGCACGTACTCCGCGATCTCGCTCTTCGTCAGCGCCGCCGGCACGGGGTAGTGCTGCTTCTTGCCGTCCACAGCGAACAGCGCAGGCGAGTCGTGGCCCTCAATCGCAATGGCAGAAGGCGCGATCACCTTCAGGCCCTCCGTCACGTTGCACGGCACCGTCGCGCGGCCGCCGTTGTGGATTTGGCAGTAGATCAGCCCGCCCTTCGCGTGCACCGCGTCCGTCACCTTCCTCCACCCGGCGATCTGCTCCGGGCCGTAGATGCCGGCCTCGAACCCGAACGTCGAATAGCCCTTCTGGATCTGCGTCGCCTCCGTGAGGATCAGCCCCATCGACGCGCGGTCAGAGTAGTACTTCACCATGTCCGCCGTCGGCACGTGGTCCGTGTTTGCGCGGCAGCGCGTCAGCGGCGCCATCACGAAGCGGTTCGCCATCGTCAGGCGGCCGATCTTCAGCGGCTTCAGCAGCGCCTCCACGTCCGGCTTAGCGTTCGTCGGCATTTGGGCGGTGAAGTCTGCAATGTGTCGCTGAGTGTGTAGGACGGCGGTCTCGCGAAACGCACGGGGGCCGGAAAAGAGCAGCGGAGGTGGAAAGAAGGAAAGATGCGCCGGTGTGGCTGGCGGTGTGGCAGAGAGAGAGGCGAGGCAGCGGTGGGAAGAGGAGCGGACGGTAAACGAATGGGGATGGGCGCACACGTGCGACGCCGATTGGGTGTGCACAGCAGCACACGGAAGCAACGCGGCACGTATCGCGGAGAAGGGGAAAGGGCGGAAGGGTAAAGGCGGGGTGTGTCAGCTGCGTGGGAGGGGGTCAAAGGAAAAGAGGACCCGGGCTCAGGAGGAGAACGCGCACCGGAGGTCGCCCCGCACACACACCGACGGCCTCGCACGTGCCCTGCGCTGGCGACCACGCACGGGAAGGCACGCAGCGCACGCACCTGCACTCAAGAAAAGCAGTACACGCCGAGGTTGGGCACAAGCACCGCACCAGCCCGCCCGATGCGGAGAGGCAGCAGCAGTGGAGGGCCCGCCTCGCTCCTCAACGCCAGCCGTAGCGTTGCATTGCAGCACCACAAACGTTTCCATTGAAATAGAGTTCGGATGACCCCTGCGGGCTCTGCACTTCACACACACACACACACACACACACACGCACGCCGGCCCAGTGGCTACACACGCGCCTCGGGAGACGACACATGCAGGCGGGGGAACGGCGACACGGAGCAACGCAGCGGCGCCGAAGTGAACACTTTAGCCAGAAGAAGAGAAAAAATAGAAATCATTATTACAGTAGTAATAGTAGCGCCTACGAACACACACCGGGAAAGGAGGGGACAGCCGTTACGGCACTCGTCGTTGGATGTTTGTCGTGGCCCGCACACGCACACGGCGACACCCACTTGACGGATCCAAACCGCGAAGTAGCATGGAGGTGAATAGAAAAAGACGGAGTTAATAAAAACAATAATAATAATAATAATAGAGGGTTCTCTGCAGAAGTGAAACACGAGAATAGAAGCCAATGAGCGGGGCCCCATGAGCTATCCAGGTGAGACACTATGCCCACCGGAACCGTATGAGAGTAACCTGGGAAGGTAGCGAGCCAGACTCGAACAAGCGCTCCTCCATCACTCAGACACACATATACTCCCACACACCGCAGCACCAGCTGCAGCGCGGCGCATTACGTCTACCGCGCAGCGAGGGTCGGGTAGTCGTTGTAGCCCACCATGTCGTGCGTGTAGAACGTTGCAACGACCGGCGTGTTCAGCTCCGCACCGGCGATGGCGCGGGCAACCAGGTCGGGGTTCGCCAACGCCTTCACGCCGAACACCACAGCCTCCGCCTCGCCGCTCGCAACCGTCTGCGCCGCCTCCTCGATCTCGAAGCCCATCCCCGTGAACAGCACGCCCTCGTACGTCTCGCGGGCCCACTTGTCCGCGCCGCGCGCAGGCGAGAAGAAGTCGCCGCGCATGACGTCCAGGAAGGCGAGCTTGCGCGAGTTCAGCTCCCGGCAGATGTACTTCGTCAGCGCCTCCGGGTCCTCGTCCGACTGAGCGTTGAACGAGTTCAGCGGCGAGATGCGCAGTGCCGTCCGCTCGTGGCCAACAGCAGCAACCACCGCATCCACAACCTCGAACAGGAAGCGGCACCGGTTCTCGATGCTGCCGCCGTACTCGTCCGTGCGCTTGTTCGACGACGTCTTCAGGAACTGGTCGATCAGGTACCCGTTCGCACCGTGGACCTCCACCCCGTCAAACCCAGCCGCCATCGCGTTGTGCGCCGCCGTCGCGTACAGCTGCACGTACTCCGCGATCTCGCTCTTCGTCAGCGCCGCCGGCACGGGGTAGTGCTGCTTCTTGCCGTCCACAGCGAACAGCGCAGGCGAGTCGTGGCCCTCAATCGCAATGGCAGAAGGCGCGATCACCTTCAGGCCCTCCGTCACGTTGCACGGCACCGTCGCGCGGCCGCCGTTGTGGATTTGGCAGTAGATCAGCCCGCCCTTCGCGTGCACCGCGTCCGTCACCTTCCTCCACCCGGCGATCTGCTCCGGGCCGTAGATGCCGGCCTCGAACCCGAACGTCGAATAGCCCTTCTGGATCTGCGTCGCCTCCGTGAGGATCAGCCCCATCGACGCGCGGTCAGAGTAGTACTTCACCATGTCCGCCGTCGGCACGTGGTCCGTGTTTGCGCGGCAGCGCGTCAGCGGCGCCATCACGAAGCGGTTCGCCATCGTCAGGCGGCCGATCTTCAGCGGCTTCAGCAGCGCCTCCACGTCCGGCTTAGCGTTCGTCGGCATTTGGGCGGTGAAGTCTGCAATGTGTCGCTGAGTGTGTAGGACGGCGGTCTCGCGAAACGCACGGGGGCCGGAAAAGAGCAGCGGAGGTGGAAAGAAGGAAAGATGCGCCGGTGTGGCTGGCGGTGTGGCAGAGAGAGAGGCGAGGCAGCGGTGGGAAGAGGAGCGGACGGTAAACGAATGGGGATGGGCGCACACGTGCGACGCCGATTGGGTGTGCACAGCAGCACACGGAAGCAACGCGGCACGTATCGCGGAGAAGGGGAAAGGGCGGAAGGGTAAAGGCGGGGTGTGTCAGCTGCGTGGGAGGGGGTCAAAGGAAAAGAGGACCCGGGCTCAGGAGGAGAACGCGCACCGGAGGTCGCCCCGCACACACACCGACGGCCTCGCACGTGCCCTGCGCTGGCGACCACGCACGGGAAGGCACGCAGCGCACGCACCTGCACTCAAGAAAAGCAGTACACGCCGAGGTTGGGCACAAGCACCGCACCAGCCCGCCCGATGCGGAGAGGCAGCAGCAGTGGAGGGCCCGCCTCGCTCCTCAACGCCAGCCG